AGCTAATTGAATCAAATGAAAGTCAAACACATTCAAACAAATCTTTTTGAATCAAATAAAAGTAAAATGCATTCAATAAAGCTAATTTAATTAAAAAGTCAATTGCATTCTACAAAGCTAATTGAATCTAATGAAAGTCATACACATTCAAACAAAGCTAATTGAATCAAATGAAAGTCAAACACATTCAAACAAAGTTAATTGAATCAAATAAAAGTCAAACACATTAAAACAAAGCTTTTCGAATCAAATGAAAGCCAAATGCATTATACAAAGCTAATTGAATAATATGAAAGTCAAACACATTCAAGCAAAGCTAATTGAATCAAATGAAAGTCAAACACATTCAAACAAATCTTTCAAAATCAAATAAAAGTCAAATGCATTCAATAAAGCTAATTGAATCTAATGAAAGTCAAACACAGTCAACCAAAGCTTTTTGATTCAAATTAAAGTCTAATACATTCAACAAGGCTAATTTAATAAAAAAAAAAAGTCAAATGCATTCTAGAAAGCTAATTGAATCAAATGAAAGTCAAACACATACAAAAAAACCTAATTGAATCAAATGACAGTCAAACACATTCAAACAAAGCTTTTTGATTCAAATTAAAGTCTAATGCGTTAAACAAAGCTAATTGAATCAAATGAATGTCAAACACATTCAAACAAAGCTAATTGAATCAAATGAAAGTCAAACACATTCAAACAAAGCATTTTTAATCAAATTAAAGTCTAATGCATTCAACAAACCTAATTGAATCAAATGAAAGTCAAATGCATTCTATAAAGCTAATTGAATCAAATGAAAGTCAAACACATTCTACCACAGCTTTTTAAATCAAATGAAAGTCAAATGCATTCATCAAAGCTAATTGAATCGAATGAAAGTCAAACACATTCGAACAAACCTATTTGAATGAAATAAAAGTCAAATGCATTCATCAAAGCTAATTGAATCAAATAAAAGTCAAATGCATTCATCAAAGCTAATTGAATCTAATAAAAAACAAACACATTAAAACAAACCTAATTGAATCAAATGAAAGTCAAACACATTCAAACAACGCTTTTTGAATTAAATGAAAGTCAAATGCATTCAACAAAGCTAATTGAATCAAATGAAAGTAAAAAAAAATCAAACAAAGTTACTTGAATCAATTGAAAGTTAAACACATTCAAACAAAGCTTTTCGAATCAAATGAAAGTCAAATGCATTCTACAAAGCAAATTCAATCAAATGAAAGTCAAACACATTCAAGCAAACCTAATTGAATGAAATGAAAGTCAAACACATTCAAACAAATCTTTTTGAATCAAATTAAAGTCAAACACATTCATACAAAGCTTATTAAATCAAATGAAAGTCAAACACTTTCAAACAAAGCTTTTTAAATCAAATGAAAGTCAAATGCATTCAACAAAGCTAATTTAATCAAATGAAAGTCATATGCATTCTACAAAGCTAATTGAATCAAATGAAAGTCAAATGCATTCATCAAAGCTAATTGAATTGAATGAAAGTCGAACACATTCAAACAAACCTAATTGAATCAAATAAAAGTCAAATGCATTCATCAAAGCTAATTGCATCAAATAAAAGTCAAATGCATTCATTAAAGCTAATTGAATCGAATATAAATCAAACACATTCAAACAAACCTAATTGAATCAAATGAAAGTTAAAACATTCAAACAAAGCCTTTTGAATTAAATGAAAGTCAAATGCATTCAACAAAGCTAATTGAATCAAATAAAAGTCAAAAACATTCAAACAAAGTTAATTGAATCAATTCAAAGTCAAAAACATTCAAACAAAGCTTTTCGAATCAAATAAAAGTCAAATGCATTCAATAAAGCTAATTGAATCAAATGAAAGTCAAACACAGTCAACCAAAGCTTTTTTATTCAAATTAAAGTCTAATGCATTCAACAAAGCTAATTTAATCAAATAAAAGTCAATTGCATTCTACAAAGCTAATTGAATCTAATGAAAGTCAAACACATTCAAACAAAGCTGATTGAATCAAATGAAAGTCAAAAACATTCAAACAAAGCTTTTTGAATTAAATGAAAGTCAAATGCATTCAACAAGGCTAATTGAATCAAAGTTAATTCAATGAAATGAAAGTCAAACACATTCAAACAAAGCTTTTCGAATCAAATGAAAGTCAAATGCATTCAAACAAAGCTTTTTGATTTAAATTAAAGTCTAATGCATTCAACAAAGCTAATTTAATCAAATTAAAGTCAAATGCATTCTACAAAGCTAATTGAATCAAATGAAGGTCTAACATATTCAAGCAAAGCTAATTGAATCAAATGAATGTCAAACACATTCAAACAAATCTTTTTGAATCAAATAAAAGTCAAATGCATTCAATAAAGATAATTGAATCAAATGAAAGTTAAACACAGTCAACCAAAGCTTTTTGATTCAAATTAAAGTCTAATGGATTCGACTAAGTTAATTTAATAAAAAAAAAAAGTCAAATGCATTCTACAAAGGTCATTGAATCAACTGAAAGTCAAACACATTCAAACAAAGCTAATTGTATCAAATGAAAGTCAAACACATTCAAACAAAGCTTTTTGAATCAAATGAAAGTCAAACACATTCAAACAAAGCTTTTTTAATCAAATTAAAGTCAAATGCATTCAACAAAGCAAATTGAATCGAATGAAAGTCAAACACATTCAAACAAATCTAATTGAATAAAATGAAAGCCAAACACATTCAAACAAAACTTTTTAAATCAAATTAAAGTCAAATGAATTCATTCAAGCTAATTAAATAAAATGAAAGTCAAACACATTCAAATTAAAGCTTTTTAAATCAAATTAAAGTCAAATAGATTCGACAAAGCTAATTGAATCAAATGCAAGTCAAAAACAATTAAACAAAGCTATTTAAATCAAATGAATGTCAAATGCATTCAACAAAGCTAATTGAATCAAATGAAAGTCAAACACATTCAAACAAAGTTAATTAAATCAAAAGAAAGTCAAACACATTCAAACAAAGCTTTTTGAATCAAATGAAAGTCAAATGCATTCTATAAAGCTAAATGAATCAAATGAAAGTCAAACACATTCAAACAAAGCTTTTGGAATCAATTTAAAGTCTAATGCATTCTACAAAGCTAATTTAATTAAATGAAAATTAAACACAATTAAACAAAGCTATTTAAATTAAATGAAAGTCAAACACATTTAAACAAAGCTTTTTGAATCAAATGAAAGTCAAATGCATTCAACAAAGCTAATTGAATCAAATGAAAGTCAAACACATTCAATCAAAGTTAATTGAATCAAATGAAAGTTAAACACATTCAAACAAAGCTTTTCGAATCGAATAAAAGTCAAATGCATTCTATAAAGCTAGTTGAATCAAATGGAAGTCAAACACATTCAAGCAAAGCTAATTAAATCAAATGAAAGTCAAACACTTTCAAACAAAGCTTTTTGAATCAAATGAAAGTCAAATGCATTCAACAAATCTAATTGAACTAAAAGAAAGTCAAACACATTCAAACAAAGCTTTCTGAATCAAATGAAAGTTAAATGCATTCAACAAAGCTAATTGAATAAATTGAAAGTCAATAGCATTCTACAAAGCTAAACGAATCAAATGAAAGTCAAACACATTCAAGCAAAGCTAATTGAATCAAATGAAAGTCAAACACTTTTAAACAAAGCTTTCTGAATCAAATAAAAGTCTAATTTATTCAACAAAGGTAATTTAATCAAATAAGAGTCAAATGCATTCTACAAAGCTAATTGAATTAAATGAAAGTCAAACACATTCATGCAAAGCTAATTGAATCAAATGAAAGTCAAACACATTCAAACAAAGTAAATTAAATCAAATGAAAGTCAAACACATTCAAACAAAGCTTTTTGAATCAAATTAAAGTCTAATGCATTCTACAAAGCTAATTGATTTAAATGAAAGTCAAACACAATTAAACAAAGCTATTTAAATCAAATGAAAGTCAAACTGACGTGACTCAAGAGGGAAATTCTTTTGATGAACCAATCATATTGGTTTTAAGTCCAATAGGGTTCGAGCTTGGAGTAAAGAATCAAGAATGGGTAACATGCGCAACCATTAAAGAAGAACTCAAGGACCAGTTGGGTTCGGACGACGGCAGCGGCGGCGACGCGTCGATCTGGGTGCCACGCGCCGGCTCCCTAGCTCCAGCCTGAGTTCAACTACACAGAGGTGGGGCGCGTGCCAATGGTGGCGGCGCGTGAGATGGTAGTTCAGCGACAGTACGAAAAGAAAGATTTTCTTAACTTAGGATTTTCTAGGGTTTTTACCTTTCACTTGAAAGGGTTTTTCTTGTTTTAAGCAATTAGGTTTCTTCTTAATTTTTGTTATTTTAGTTTAAAATAATTTCTAAGTCAATTAGGAATTGTTTAAAGAAGTTTTAGGTTAATTAGAACTAGTCTTATTACTAGTTCCTAGTTCCATTAGAATTGGTTTTCCTATCCTATCTAGGATACTTGGGGATCAAGGCTGGGGTTTTTTTCCTAGTTCGAATAGACTTAGGAATAGTTAGTTTTAGTCTATAAGTAAGGGATTTTTCGTGGCTTTGTATACACAACCAGAAAATCAAATAAAATTAATTGTTTTATTTGCTTAATTGCTTACAAATTCTTTTGCTAGTTTACAATTCAAGGAGTTGTTTTGATAATTAGAACGTTCAATTCTTAGTTCTATGAGTAGTCTAAGTTTTGTTCATCAAAGTACTTAGGTCTAGGAGTGGTCTAGGTAATTTGAGAGGCGTTGAATTCGTTCCAAGAGTGGTCGTTTTCAAAGTCATATCCGGTTCGTTATTCTTAAGTTGTTCGATTTTCTTAGGAAAATTCGAAGGGCTTGTGTTACTTGTGTGATTTTAGAATCTTTATTAAGTTAAGGGGTTTAAATCCACATCAAATTGGTATCAAGTATCGATTTCCTATGCCAAGACTAGAAGATATGCTTGATGAGTTACATGGTTCTACCATATTTTCCAAGATCGATCTTAGAAGTGGCTACCATCAAATGCGAATTAGAGAAGGAGATGAATGGAAGACTGCTTTCAAAACTAAGCAAGGATTATATGAATGGATGGTCATGCCTTTTGGGCTATGCAATGCGCCAAGTTCATTTCATGAGGCTCATGAACGAGGTACTTCGACCCTTCTTTAATAAGTTCATTGTCGTTTACCTTGATGATATATTAGTCTATAGTCGAGATAATATTGAGCATATTGATCATTTTAGAAGATTATTTGAAACCTTAAGAGAACAACAACTATATGGCAAACTTGAAAAGTGCTCATTCATGGTTCCAAGTATTTCTTTTCTTGGTTATATTATTTCGGGAAAGGGTATTGAAGTGGATCCCGAAAAGGTGGCTGCTATTTTTACTTGGGTGGCGCCTAAAAACATTCCTGAAGCACGTAGTTTTCATGGTCTTGCATCGTTCTATAAAAGGTTCATTAGAAAATTTTCTAGTATCATGGCACCTTTCACGGAACTGATGAAGAAAGGGGATTTTGTGTGGACTAATTCGGCGCAACAAGCATTTGAGACAATCAAGGAAAGACTATGCAATACACCGGTTCTAGCTTTGCCTAACTTTGATAAATTGTTTGAGGTTGAATGTGATGCAAGTGGAGTAGGTATAGGTGCGGTTCTAAGGCAAGAGGCAAGACCTATCTCTTACTTTAGTGAGAAACTAAGTGGTGCAAAGTAGAACTACTCTAACTATGATCGTGAATTCTATGCCATTGTAAGTGCTTTAGATCATTGGTCTCATTACTTAAGACCAAAACCTTTTGTGCTACATTCGGATCATGAAGCTTTGAAGTATATCCATGGACAACAAAAGTTGAATTATAGACATGCCAAGTGGGTTGAGTTCCTACAATCTTTTACGTTTTCTTCAAAGTACAAGGAAGGCAAGGCGAATGTGGTTGTCGATGCACTATCAAGGAGATCTTATTTGCTAGCCATGGTGGATGCTAGGATCATTGGTTTTGACCATATACTTGATTTATATGCAACATGTCCGGATTTGGCAAAAGAGTACAAAGACCCTTCACGTAACTTTGTGCTTCAAGATGGCTTCTTATTTCGAGGTAACAAACTTTGTATTCCTTAATGTGGTGTGCGTGAATTGCTTATTAGAGAAGTGCATAGTGGTGCAATTGCGGGGCACTTTGGTGTTCACAAAACAGTTGATATGCTTAGTGAATATTTCTATTGGCCAAAGATGATCAAGGATGTTCAAAGTGTGATTTCAAGATGTACTACTTGTCAAAAGGCAAAGAGTTTTTTTTTCAAAGGGCTTATATACACCTCTTCCAGTTCCAGATTTCCTTGGGATAGTGTTAGCATGGACTTCATTGTTGGACTACCACGAACTCAAAGAGGGAAGGATGCTATTATGGTTGTAGTTGATAGATTCTCAAAGATGGCTCACTTTTTTCCAATGCACAAGACAGATGATGCGCAACATGTAGCTAATCTATACTTCAAGGAAATTGTTCGACTTCATGGAGTTCCTAGAAGCATAGTTTCGGATAGGGACTCAAAGTTCCTTAGTCACTTTTGGAAGTGTTTGTGGAAGCTACTTGGAACAAAGCTCATGTTTAGTACTTCTCATCATCCTCAAACAGATGGTCAAACTGAGGTAACCAATCGAACCTTAGGTACTTTACTTAGAGGGTTGGTTAGTAAGACTCAAAAGGATTGGGATATGAGACTTTTCCATGCAGAGTTTGCTTATAATCGGTCACCTTCATCAACTACACAACAAGCTCCATTTGAAGTTGTTTATGGTATTAATCCGTTCTTGCCTATTGATTTGCTTCCATTAAACAAAGAGGACATCCATATTGATGCTAAGAAACAGCTTGAAGTTTTTAAGAGGACATGTGAACAAGTTAAAGCAAAAATTGAGAAGATGAATAACTTGTACAAAGCAAGGTCAAACAAAAAGCGCAAACAACCTACATTCAAGCCGGGAGATCTTGTTTGGTTACACTTAAGGAAGAAAGATTTCCAAGCAAAAGGAAGAACAAGCTCATGCCTAGAGCCGACGACCCTTTTGAGGTTTTAGAAGCTCATGGTGATAGTGCTTACAAACTTGATTTACCAAGCAAATATGGTAATGTAAGTGCTACTTTCAATGTTGGTGATTTGTCTCCTTACCTAGATGATGTGAATTTGAGGACAAATTCTTTTGAAGAGGGGGAGAATGATGTGAATCAAGAAGGAAATTCTTTTGAAGAATCAATCATATTGGTTTTAAGTCCAATAGGGTTCGAGCTTGGAGTAAAGAATCAAGAATGGGTAACATGCGCAACCATTGAAGATGAACTCAAGGACCAGTTAGGTTCCGACTACGGCAGCAGCGGCGACGCGCCGATCTGGGTGCCACGCGCCGGCTGCCTAGCTCAAGACTGAGTTCAGCTACACAGAGGTGGGGCGCGTGCCAATGGTGGCGGCGTGTGAGATGGTGGTTCGGCGGTAGTACGAAAAGAAAGATTTTCTTAACTTAGGTTTTTCTAGGGTTTTTGCTTGCAAGTTTTAACCTTTCACTTGAAAGGGTTTTTCTTGGTTTAAGCAATTAGGTTTCTTCTTAATTTCTGTTATTTTAGTTTAAAAATAATTTCTAAGTCAATTAGGAACTTTTTTAAGAAGTTTTAGGTTAATTAGAACTAGTCTTATTACTAGTTTCCTAGTTCCATTAGAATTGGTTTTCCTATTCTATCTAGGATACTTGGGGATCAAGGCTAGGGTTTTTGTCCTAGTTCGAATAGACTTAGGAATAGTTAGTTTTAGTCTATAAGTAAGGGATTTTTCGTGGCTTTGTACACACAACTAGAAAATCAAATAAAATTAATTGTTTGTTTTGCTTAATTGCTTACAAATTCTTTTGCTAGTTTTCAATTCAAGGAGTTGTTTTGATAATTAGAACGTTCAATTCTTAGTTCTAGGAGTAGTCTAAGTTATGTTCATCAAAGTACTTAGTTCTAGGAGTGGTCTAGGTAATTTGAGAGGCGTTGAATTCGTTCCAAGAGTGGTCGTTTTCAAAGTCATATCCGGTTTGTTATTCTTAAGTTGTTCGATTTTCTTAGGAAATTCGAAGGGGTTGCGCTACTTGTGTGATTTTAGAATCTGTATTAAGTTAAGGGGTTTAAATCCACATCACAAACACATTCAAACAAAGCTTTTTGAATCAAATTAAAGTCAAATGAATTCAACAAAGCTAATTGAATCAAATGAAAGTCAAACACATTCAAATAAAGTTAATTGAATCAAATGAAAGTCTAACACATTCAAACAAAGCTTTTTGAATCAAATGAAAGTCAAATGCATTCTATAAAACTAATTGAATCAAATGAAAGTCAAACACATTCAAGCAAAGCTAATTGAATCAAGTGAAAGTCAAACACTTTCAAACAAAGCTTTCTAAATCAAATGAAAGTTTAATGCATTCAACAATGCTAATTTAATCAAATAAAAGTCAAATGCATTCTACATAGCTAATTGAATCAAATGAAAGTCAAACACATTCAAGCAAAACTAATTGAAACAAATGAAAGTCAAACACATTCAAACAAATCTATTTGAATCAAATGATAGTCAAATGCATTCAATAAAGCTAATAGAATCAAATGAAAGTCAAACACAGTCAACCAAAGATTTTTGATTCAAATTAAAGTCTAATGCATTCAACAAAGCTAATTTAATCAAATGAAAGTCAAATGCATTCTACAAAGCTAATTGAATCAAAAGAAAATCAAACACATTCAAAAAAAGCTAAATGAATCAAATGAAAGTCAAACACATTCAAACAAACCTAATTGAGTCAAATGAAAGTCAAACACATTCAAACAGTGCTTTTTGAATCAAATGAAAGTCAAATGCATTCATTAAAGCTATTTGAATCGAATAAAAGTCAAACACATTCAAACAAACCTAATTGAATCAAATGAAAGTCAAACACATTCAAACAAAGGTTTTTGAATCAAATGAAAGTTAAATGAATTCATTCAAGCTAATTGAATCAAATGAAAGTAAAAAACATTCAAATAAACCTTTTTGAATCTAATTAAAGTCTAATGCATTCTACAAAGCTAATTGAATCAAATTAAAGTCTAATGTATTTTACAAAGCTAATTGAATCAAATGAAAGTCAAACACATTTAAACAAAGCTTTTTGAATCAAATTAAAGTCTAATGAATTAAACAAAGCTAATTGAATCAAATGAAAGTCAAACACATTCAAACAAAGCTTTTTGAATTAAATGAAAGTCAAATGAATTCAACAAAGCTAATTGAATCAAATGAAAATCAAACACATTCAAACAAACCTAATTAAGTCAAATGAAAGTCAAACACGTATAAACAAATCTTTTTGAATCAAATGAAAGTCAAATGCATTCATCAAATCTAATTGAATCAAATGAAAGTCAAATACATTCAAACAAACCTAATTGAATCAAATGAAAGTCAAACACATTCAAACAAAGCTTTTTGAATCAAATGAAAGTCAAATGAATTCATTCAAGCTAATTAAATCAAATGAAAGGCAAACACATTCAAATAAAGCTTTTTGAATCAAATTAAAGTCTAATGCATTCTACAAAGCTAATTGAATCAAATTAAAGTCTAATGCATTCAACAAAGCTAATTGAATCAAATGAAAGTCAAACACATTCAAGCAAAGCTAATTGAATTAAATGAAATTCAAACACATTCAAACAATTCTTTTTGAATCAAATAAAAGTCAAATGCATTCAATAAAGCTAATTGAATCAAATGAAAGTCAAACACATTCAAACAAAGCTGATAGAATCAAATGAAAGTCAAACACATTCAAACAAAGCTTTTTGAATCAAATTAAATCTAATGCATTGAACAAAGCTAATTGAATAACATGAAAGTCAAACACATTAAAAAAAAGCTAATTGAATCAAATGAAAGTCAAACACATTCAAACAAACCTAATTGAGTCAAATAAAACTCAAACACATTCAAACAAAGGTTTTAGAATCAAATGAAAGTCAAATGCATTCAACAACGGTAATTGAAACAAATGAAAGTCAAACACATTCAAACAAACCTAATTGAGTCAAATGAAAGTCAAACACATTCAAACAGAGCTTTTTGAATCAAATGAAAGTCAAATGAATTCATTCAAGCTAATTGAATCAAATGAAAGTCAAAAACTTTCAAATAAACCTTTTTGAATCTAATTAAAGTCTAATGCATTCTACAAAGCTAATTGAATCAAATTAAAGTCTAATGCATTCTACAAAGCTAATTGAAATAAATGAAAGTCAAACACATTTAAACAAAGCTTTTTGAATCAAATTAAAGTCTAATGAATTAAACAAAGCTAATTGAATCAAATGAAAGTCAAACACATTCAAACAAAGCTTTTTGAATTAAATGAAAGTCAAATGCATTCATCAAATCTAACAGAATCAAATGAAAGTCAAACACATTCAAATAAACCAAATTGAGTCAAATGAAAGTCAAACACATTCAAACAGAGCTTTTTGAATCAAATTAAAGTCAAATGCATTCATCAAAGCTAATTGAATCGAATGAAAGTCAAATACATTCAAACAAACCTAATTGAATCAAATGAAAGTCAAACACATTCAAACAAAGCTTTTTGAATCAAATGAAAGTCAAATGAATTCATTCAAGCTAATTAAATCAAATGAAAGGCAAACACATTCAAATAAAGCTTTTTGAATCAAATTAAAGTCTAATGCATTCTACAAAGCTAATTGAATCGAATGAAAGTCAAATACATTCAAACAAACCTAATTGAATCAAATGAAAGTCAAACACATTCAAACAAAGCTTTTTGAATCAAATTAAAGTCAAACACATTCAAAGAAAGCTTATTAAAACAAAAGAAAGTCAAACACTTTCAAACAAAGCGTTTTAAATAAAATGAAAGTCAAATGCATTCAACAAAGCTAATTTAATCAAATGAAAGTCATATGCATTCTACAAAGCTAATTGAATCAAATGAAAGTTAAACACATTCAAGCAAAGCTAATTGAATTAAATGAAAGTCAAACACATTCAAACAAATCTTTTTGAATCAAATAAAAGTTGAATGCATTCAATAAAGCTAATTGAATCAAATGAAAGTCAAACACAGTCAACCAAAGCTTTTTGATTCGAATTAAAGTCAAATACATTCAACAAAGCTAATTTAATCAAATAAAAGTCAATTGCATTCTACAAAGCTAATTGAATCTAATGAAAGTCAAACACAATTAAACAAAGCTATTTAAATCAAATGAAAGTCAAACATTTTCAAACAAAGCTTTTTGAATTAAATGAAAGTCAAATGAATTCATTCAAGCTAATTGAATCAAATGAAAGTCAAACACATTCAAATAAAGCTTTTTGAATCAAATTAAAGTCTAATGCATTCTACAAAGCTAATTGAATCGAATGAAAGTCAAACACAATTAAACAAAGCTATTTAAATCAAATGAAAGTCAAACACATTCTAACAAAGCTTTTTGAATCAAATGAAAGTCAAATGCATTCAACAAAGCTAATTGAATCAAATGAAAGTCAAACACATTCAAACAAAGTTAATTGAATCAAATGAAAGTCAAACACATTCAAACAAAGCTTTTTGAATCAAATGAAAGTCAAATGCATTCTATAAAGCTAATTGAATCGAATGAAAGTCAAACACATTCAAGCAAAGCTTTCTAAAACTAATGAAAGTTTAATGCATTCAACAAAGCTAATTTAATGAAATAGAAGTAAAATGCGTTCTACAAAGCTAATTTAATTAAATAAAAGTCAAACACATTCAAGCAAAGGTAATTGAATCAAATGAAAGTGAAACACATCCAAACAAATCTATTTGAATCAAATGATAGTCAAATGCATTTAATAAAGCAAATTGAATTAAATGAAATTCAAACACATTCAAACAATTCTTTTTGAATCAAATAAAAGTCAAATGCATTAAATAAAGCTAATTGAATCAAATTAAAGTCAAACACAGTCAACCAAAACTTTTTGATTCAAATTAATTCAACAAATCTAATTGAATCAAATTAAAGT